AATGTTTTTCTGAAACCTACATCACACCAGACCGCATCTCACGATTTCTAAATAAATTATATATAATATATATTATATTAATATAATAATATAATATATTATTCAGTATATAATAATACTGAAAATTAAAATATGGGTCAGGAATTCGCAGCACAATCTGTGAATCATCAAACATGAGCAATCAGTAAATCGCTGAACTGACAACATATTGATCCATCTTTCGTTTGATATTCCATTTCACCGGACGATCGCCGAGCAACAATGGCAAAACATTGCCGATCTACCTAGTTTATAAACGACGGTTTCAAGTGTATGCTGAAGAATTTTGATACTCTTAAAAACTTAAGTATACGCATGAATATCAGGCGTGATGATCGATCGCGTAATATTGATGCTTTGGTTTCAGAGATATAGTGCAAAAATGACAATTATTGCACTAGCCCCAATCTTTCGTTTTTTTTTTGCATTCCTCAGGGCTCTAAAATCATAAATAACAGTTAATATATAAAATAATGGATCTTGCAATACTTCCTTTTTTCATTATTTATTTACTTACTTAGGTATTTAGGTCAGTGTAAACTTTAGGGGTATTTACGATTTTTGAAAGGTGTTAAAAAATATCGTGAACGGCTTATTCTTTTCTTCGCAAGTTAGGTATATCGGCTCGAATTGAAGCGTGCCATTTGTTTCACTTTTCGAGTGCATAGATAGCAGGGGAATTCACGATGTTTGTAGCATGTTAATCGATTAAAGAAGTGCCCAGTAAGATCGTGAACGCCCCCTTCTTTTATTAGCATGTTAAACGTAAATTTTTCCGCAATGCTGCGCTTGGCGATTGGTAGAACCACAAATAATTAATCAACTCTTTTATTCAAAATGCTAGGGGTATTCACGATCTTTGTGTTAACCCTGTTAACTCTGTTACGTCTTGTTAGATCGAGAAAAATGATGACGTAGACTTGTAAGAATCGATAAGTTAATATTACTCGATCTAACAGGGTAGGGCCAATGTTAGATGTTAGGTCGAAAATGTAGTCACATTGCTATCCGATCAGCTGTTTTTTGTTTACACATATTTTTATTCTTATATATGCGTTAATTAAATCAGACCGATACATTTCTTTTATTAATTTCTGACCTGATCCTATAATCTCATTCATAATAGGTACATACCATATCCTATGAAGCATTTTGAATGAAAGAGTAAATTAATTTTCTTTTATATTATCTTCTGGTATATTACAATTTAACACAAAACAAAACCAAAACAAACAACAACAATCCTTGAAGGACTGTTATAGCTTTATTTTTGGTTCTATCAATCGCCACGCGCAGCATTGCGGAAAAATTAATGTTTAACATGCTAATAAAAGAAGGGGGCGTTCACGATCTTACTGGGCACTTCTTTAATCGATTAACATGCTACAATCATCGTGAATTCCCCTGCTATCTATGCACTCGAAAAGTGAAACAAATGGCACGCTTCAATTCGAGCCGATATACCTAACTTGTATCCAAACGTCTAACAAACTACAACTTTATAGGATAGATGGATGATGATTCTATTATGAATGAGAGTATAAGAACAGGTCAGAAATTAACAAAAGAAATGTAAGGTTGGTCTGATTGAATTAATGCTTATTTAAGAATAAAAACACGTGCAAACAAGAAACAGCTGTTGAATTCATGGCTGTCATGTTGGTCACCTACGCCCTAACGGATGGCAGTGTGACTACATTTTCGACCTAACATCTAACATTGGCCCTGGCCTGTTAGATCGAGCCATGTTAACTAGCCATTCTTACAAGTCAACGTCATCATTTTTCTCGATCTAACAGGACATAATAGAGTTGACAGGGTTAACACAAAGATCGTGAATACTCCTTTTGTACAAATAGGTTCACTATTAATACCTTTTTTCTTTTGTAAAAACTTTCTTGTTTTTTTACAATTTTTGTTTTGGTGTCTATATGTAATGATAGAATTGAATATAATGTCCAAACAGATGCAAATAATTTGAGTGTAAGATATAGCGGCATTCTATGTTATTTATTATTATTCTATCTGTAATATTAATATTCAAATAATAAAGGGGATCAAATTGGTTCCAGTTGTTATTTTATGTTTATGTATAGAGAATTGTAACTAATTTGGTTCTCTAGTTGGTTTCGCGGTATTAAATTAGGTCTTGTCCTGTTTCAAATTTGCAATTATTCGTAGACTACTGTCTACTGAAATCATAAATATGCTGTATGCTCAGGATGATTCTCACATTGTGACTGGCAATACTAAACGTTCTTAATTGTTTATATATTTATAGTATATAGTCTTTTTTATTTAATTGTTTATGTAGTCAATACCTACCACAAGACTTTTGTACAAAAAATAAGAAAAAAGGACGTTTTAACAGTACACTTGTATGAATAAATTTGACACTGACCTAGTAGCTAAGCGAGTAAATAAATAATGGAAAATAGGTAATATTGTAAGTCCAATTATTATTATGGATTTAAATTAATTATTGCTTATAAATTTAGAGCCGTGACGAATGCATAATAAATTTCGAAACCTTGGCGGTAGTGCATAATCTTCTTGTACCACACCCCTGATCCCAAATCATGAATACACATGAAGTTAAAAACTTTAAAACTATAAAATACATTTATAAATTATCCTACGATTGTAATTTTTTTTAATGTATATACGATTAGCTTCCAAATAGTTTGAATCTTTTATTAGCATTTAACTTTTATTATTGTCAGGAATTAGGGGGTGCTAGTTTGCTAGCTTTATGAACTGTGTTTGTCGAAGTAAGACTATTGTCCTTCTTCTTAAATTGTTCATTGGTCGCTTGTTAGGAAAAATAGTTTTTACACTTTATGGATAAATTAACAATTACTTGTATTAAGGTTATCTAATCAAAAAACACATATATCATTTACAACTTCTTTGATTACCAGCAATATATTTGTTTCTTATTTAGAACGAATTAGAAGAGTAATGTACTAGCCTTGTTTCTGGTATTTTCTAAAACCAAGAGTGGTTAGACGATTGATCTCTCTTTCCCCTAACTACCCTTATTTACTTTTCAGCCCCCCATGTCTCTCCGTTCGACGATTAATTCCCATGTTACACTGTTTGCCTCAGATTCGCACAGTGCCGAGGATATTGAAGCGTCAGTTTCCTTCCGTCGAGAGAAAAGCGAAACGAGGTGATTCACGTCGTCATCAAATTCTTCTTTGCAGTCTTATCGCAGCCGAGGTGAAAGGAAGAACAGTTTGGATTGGTCGCAATAAATTGATTTCTCAGGAACGGAAGACCTTTTACTTCGGCTTGTCGTGTGTCGCAAAGCTTTAAGATTGGAAACTTCTTATTTTCTTCTTTTTTTCTACATCAAGATTACTATATTAGTCCGTTTTACACGTAGTAACAGTATTCGATCTTGTACAACCTTTCATTTAATGCACGAAAAGTACAATTAATACTTTATGGGTAAATTAACAATTATCGGGTTGTCCGGAAAATAATGCAGGATTTTAAGTTTTCATTAAAAAAAATCTATATAAAATATTCTGTTTACGTTTACAGGATTACTCATTTGTATGAATGTCAACACTTATTAATCCTCTTCCAAATGATATTGTTTGTTTACCTCTGTAGCATTCCGCTACTTGGAAATAATTCAGTCATCCTTATAATGTCAAAGCGAGAATTTCGTACGATTTTCTTTTACGAGTTTAAACTCGGCCGAAGCGGAGCCCAAACGGCTAGAAACATTAACCAAGTCTGGGGCGAGGGTTGTGTTAATGAGTGCACTGTGCAAAGGTGGTTTAAAAAATTTCGGGAGGGAGATTTCAGCCTTGAAGATGAAGAAGGTCGTGGAAGGCCTTCCTCTCTTAATGATGATGTTCTGCGATCAGTGGTGGAAGAAAACCCCAAAACAACTGTTCGAGAACTTGCAGAGCAACTCAAAGTCAGTAAAACGACCGTCGCTGACCACCTCAAGGCGATTGGAAAAGTGAAAAAACTCGAAAATTGGGTTCCACACTCATTAAACGATCGCCAAAAAAATCAGCGCTTTGATGTTTGTGCATCACTTCTTTGTCGAAACAAAAATGACCCATTTCTGGCCAGAATTGTTACATGTGACGAAAAGTGGATTCTCTACGATAACACTAGACGTTCTGGACAGTGGCTCGACAAAGGAGAAGCTCCAATACATTTTCCAAAGCCCCCAACTCATCAAAAAAAGGTAATGGTTACGGTATGGTGGGCTTCATTTGGTTTAATACACTACAGCTTCTTAAATCCTGGCGAAACCATCAATGCTGAATCATACTGTAACCAAATTAATACCATGCATCAGAAATTGGCAGTAATGAAGCCCTCTTTGGTCAATCGGAAAGGGCCCATTTTGTTGCATGACAACGCTCGACCACATGTGTCACGTGTAACGTCACAAAAATTATTGGAGCTTGGCTATGAAACTTTGCCTCACCCACCCTACTCTCCGGACCTCTCGCCTACTGACTACCATTTTTTTAGACACCTGGACCACTACTTACAACACATAATATTCAAAAATCAAACGGAACTGGAAAATGCATTTATTGACTTTATCAATTCTAAAAATTCTGAATTCTACTCAGACGGAATTAATAAGTTACCAACACGTTGGGAGAAATGTATTGAGAGTATGGGAAATTATTTTGATTAAAGAACATTGCTTTAAAGTAACTAGTTTCTTTTTTTTTGTTTAATACCAAAATCCTGCATTATTTTCCGGACAACCCAATACTTGTAGCAAGGTTATTTAACAACAAAAAAAACACTAATGATATAAGCTCAAGAAGACACAATTTGAAAATACAGTACAAGTTGAAAATATAGCAATCAATAACGTGGTTGTTATTGGAAAAGAAGAATTAATTTATTTTAACCCCATAATTGTTGCACTTCTTTAAGAGATTATTTAAATATTGGTTGTTTTTTGTTTTCAGAACGTCTGGTGGGAAAGGCCGAAGGTGGCCTGGAGTTGGTCCTTCCCGGGGAGCACAGGGCGCTTTCGGGCGACCTGGAAGTGCACGTCCTCGGAGGTTGGGCAGGGCTAACTGGGAAGCTACTCTTACTCCAGAAACCCCTCCTGGAGTCGGATTCCTCTGTGGATTCTTGGGAAGAAATGGGGTCCGTGCCGCTTACATGGACCGACAAGACCTCGGCCCAGGCTAGGTTCCCGTGCGGTGTCATTTCCCGTGGTGGACGGTACGGGATCAGACTTTTTGTCGCCGGCACTGGAAATCATTCCGACACCGATCAGGTTAGCATGAACTGAATATATTTAGTCCTAAATATTAAAAACAATTGGACTTGAATCGAATAAGAAAGACTGAAAAAACTTCAGACAACAGGTTAAAAGAAATAGTACGGCGAAAGTTAAAGAATATGAACGACAAATCTTGAAAATGTATGTGCCTTGATGAATTTACCTTTCATTTACACTTACTGGCTTACAAGGTGCAATTGTAAGAATTCACAATGGCTTAAATTCAATTATCTCCGGAACCTTTAAAAATAGGCTTTACCTTAATGTAGAAAAGTCCCCCGACAGCCATTGGTATTCCCTCTTCCAATCCTTTTAGCCCACTGTTTACCATTAACAATCACCCTACTTCTTTCTGTCCTCCGCTCGAGAACCTTGGTTGGTTTGTGGATAGCCATTAAGGAAGTCACGAAACAACACCCCTCTTCCTTTATAAGATCGCCCAACAGATTCTAGGCCAGAACAAGTAAAGAGAGCTGTCAAACCTTTCCGACCACCTTGCTACTCTTTTCAACCCTCATCAAGCTCTGGTTTCAACATAACACTCAAATCTAAGAGCAGAATTTCTCAATTCCTCTTTTTTCTCTCACCGCCTCCCAATCCTATCCATTTCTCGAAAGTTAAATTCCAAATTTTCCAATGGTAATAGATTTCCAAGGTGTTTGAACGACCTCCTCCTCAAAATATTAATTTCCGTATTCAACTCCCATAATATCCCAATTCATTATTTACCATCAACAATCACCCTATTTCTTTCTGCTCTCCGTTCGAGAACATTGGTTGGTTTGCGGCTATCCATTAAGGAAGTCACGAAACAACACCCCTCTTCCCCTAGACCCTTCTACTGAACTGTCCCGCAAAGGTAACGAGTAATCGACCGAAATCTCTGCCCTTGAAAATAAAAATTACTGCTCTGCAGTTTTTCTATAAGTCGCAGAGGTATTGGACAGAGTGTGGCATCCCGACGTCATTTCTCTCGAATAGCGGGTTCAAGTGAGAATTGGCACTGAATATTCAAACATCAAGCCTTCAAGTCGGCATCACCCAAGGAAGAATCCTAGGACAGATCCTTCAGAGAGTTTACACCGCGTACACCCTAACACCATATTACGAATTACGCAGACGACACCGCAAATATCTTCTCAAATTCGATTCTATCCGTGCAGCAAAAGTATTCCATGATAACCTAGACCTCATTACCGACTGAAGCACTCGGTGCCGCATTAAGCTAAACGAAAAAAAGAACCGGCACTTATATTGGTCGGACGTTCGTAATTAGATGACTACCTGCACACCAGTGCACATATACGGTAAACCCTTCATCCAACCAAATCCCCTACCTTGCGTTCTACTCATTCCGGAGATTTCATGGAACAACACAAAACAAAAATGTCAAGCACTGAACCGAAGTTACGGATTATTCAGACGCCTACTTCGAACCAAATCCGCAATGAGTTTGCACAACAATGGATCCATATACAAGCACTACCTATTTTGACTTACGAAGTCGAGCTGTGGGGTTCAGCCGAGCCAACAAACATCCAAAGATTCTTTCTATTAAAAATAATTCTTCACATCCTTACCACCCTCTTTCACGTTACTAACAAAACCATCCACAAAGACTAGACATCCGATTAGTTCCACCTTCCAATCCTCCACGATGCCAATGAAGACTTAGGCCTAAGAAGTGATTTTGTGACCTCCGAACAAAACCCTAAACCATAATTCATACCAGCACACATAGACTTCCAACAATGGCTCCTATTCCCCTTTCCTGTAGTGTGACAGGTTTCTCCTATTGTGCCATATTGTGAAATAAACAAATGAACCTCTTAGGCATACGATCCAAACTATTCATCAATAATAAAAGAATAATTTACAGCACATTACTCAAATATGAACTTAATGTGTAGAAATATGGGGCTCAGGCAAAGCATCCAATTCCTACAGTGTCCATTTCTTCCAGTCCAAAACCCTCTGGTGAGTTGCCAATGCTCAATGCTCCGTTCTATATGTCCAATCTTACCCTTCAACATGACCTCAACATCAACTAATCAAAATGCGACCAATTTCACTCCTCACTCACTAGCCTCCCCTGTGCTTTAGTAACCCAACTTACCTCAGCCACACTTCCTGATACTTTACTATGCCGACGTAAACGCCGATGGCCTGGTGATCTCCGCTCGGGAAAACACAACTCAGTTATCTTTTTTATCATCGTATTTTACATTTATTAGGTTTCGTGGTCCGCTTGACCAAATAAATTCTTTTCAATTAATTAATTTTATTTAAGGTTTTGGTTGAGATGAAAATGACAAAAAGGAGGGAAAATTCAAAAGGTGAGGTTGAGATAGGAAGTTAGTGTCTGAGTGGATCGAAGTCACGATAGTTCAAGTGGTAGAGCATCGGCGTATCAAGCCGAAGGTCGTGGGTTCGAATCCCGCTCGTGACACTGACTTTTTTATTTCAACCAAAACCTTCATTAAAGATTGTATTTTACTTCTTTTTGTTTATTCTACAGTTATAATTTCAAATAACACGAAAATAATAATTTATTTTTTTTTATTGGCCTTATGATCTTGCATATTAGCCATAGTACGAATTCTTGTGTTCAAATTGGGGGTTATCGGGAAAAAAGGGCCAGAGGCGACGGTGGGAATCGAACCCACGACCGCGGCGTGAGAGTCTCTCATGCTAACCACTCGGCTACCGAAAATAATAATTTAAAAAACTTTGTCCGAAGAATATTTTTTGGAAACACCATCAATTGTAAAAAATTATTTTGTCTTCCCTTAATAGGTTCTTTTTTATAAAAATTTAGTGTTTATTCGTTACTTAATATTAGCCTAGTCTAGTTGTTTAATCCTACAAATAGGTCTTACTGCAATTAAAACTGTTTAAATGAAACCACATTTAACTGAAATTTAAAAAATTTTAAGTAAATCACATAGTTAGGGTGATATGGACGTAAACAAAATTTCTCCTTTCAGGTAGGTAAACAGAAAGGAATTAAGCGGCATTAAACAACGCCAATTATTTCAAGTTATTAAAGTGATATCCGTTTATGCCATAATACAAGGAATCCCCTTGATTACTTTCAAAATCAGTTTTGCCTTTAATGACAACTGAAATATACGATGAACTTCAGAATCACGGGGGACATCCAATGAGGAGCTTAAGGCCGTGCTTTATCGGTGATTTCCCGATCTCATTACCCTTCGATGGATTCATTCAACCCTAAAATTCCATTTGAAGAGAGGAATTGAATTGTTCAAATAATAAACTTTTCCATCAAAACATTATTCAGAGTTTTTAAGCATTTCTATAAATAATATTTGAAATGCGTGCTTGCACTGTGGTCAAGAAGAAATGCAATATTTTGATTCTTAATTTTCATTGATTTTTTATCCATTAGAGTTAGTGGTCCGATTGAGCAAATAACTTCTTTAAATTAATTAAACTTTATGTAATGTCCATTCATTATTATTCGTGGTCCGCTTGACTAATTAATATCAATTAATTAATTAATGTTTTTCGTTGAGATAAAAAAAGTCAGTGTCACGAGGGGGATTCGAACCCACGGTCTTCGGCTAGATACGCCGCTGCTCTATCACTTGAGCTTAGACACCAACTTCCTATCTCAACCCCATCTTTTGAATTTTCCTTCCTTTTTGCCATTTTTCAAATGTCGTGTAATCTATTTGATTCTCGGCGACAAATAAAATGGCTACGAAGAGCTTTCGTGAAGTATACTTCATTTTATTTCATTAAATTCACTATTTTTCGTGGTCCGCTTGACAAATTATTATCATTCAATTACGATGTTGATTGGGATTCGGGTTGTGGTCTTCAATCATACAATTATTATATCAACGCCCAAGCTTTCGACAAGTTTTATTGCCTTCTTCAGGGGATCTACAGAGACATAGGGACATAATCATTTAGATAGTAATAAATTGTATAAATAGTTATATAATATCAGTTTTTTGTTACTTACAGATGCAAAGTCAAAACTTAAACACATTTCACATTACACGATATGTATATATACATATATAATAAATAAATAAATAAAAACCTCTTCTTAATAGCCTCTTCCATATATAGGCATTTTTAAACCAGTAGCAATTACTTAACAATTAATATTCTTTTGGTACATAAATATCACAGGCGTTTGACTAGAAAATTGTGTTTATCACGTTATCAGGTGGGAGGTTCCCCACACTATCACCTACTGATAACAATCATTTCCCACAATTTTTAAAAACAAGATCTTAATTTCTAATACATTGTAATTCTATGTTATCACAGCCTGTTATAATATATAAATAAATATGTACGCAATTATTGTTACAATCTTTTGAGAGAGACCTTATCTTTTTCTAGAATCCCACTGTATATCACACTTTATTCAAATCTGTTTTTAAATTACAAGCCATGTTATCCTGATGAATAGATATCATTTCACTCAAAAGTCTGCGACCTGTATTTTGTTCTGAATTCACAATTTTGACTCCATCGAAGTTAAAATTATGTTTCGTAGCGTGTGTATATTTGGATAGTGCTGTTCCCGGCCTTTTTTCATCACTGCAATCATATGTTGCCGTACACGTTCGGATAAATATTGTTTCGTTTGGCCGTAATACACAGTGGGACATTGTGCACATTTAATGCGATACACTACATTAGATTTTTGTAGTGGAGTTTCTTTACTTTTAAGTTTTTTGTAAAAATTCTTACCCACTTTATTGCTAAATTTGTAAACAATTTTTACATTATCTATTTTTTCTTTCAACAGTTTTTTTTAGCTTACTTGATGTTCCAGCTACTTATGTAACTGCTTGATAAAGTTTTGGTAGACAGGTATATTCTCATTCCTTGTTGCTCTTGTCCTGTTTTCAATTAATCTATTTATTAATGATCTTAGGTAGCCATTATCTATTAACATAGAGCGCACTTTTTTATTGTTCTCCCTGTGGAAAAGATCATCGCTCAATTTCAGAGCCCTATCAATGAAGTTAAAAACTATGTTAACTTTCATTTGAAAAGAATGGATGGATGAGAAATGTAGCGTCCTGCCCGAGCTAGTTGGTTTCCAATACCACTTAGTTATTCATTTACCATTATCTCTAATGACAACTACGTCCAGAAAAGGAAGTTTCCCATCCACCTCAGTTTCTTGCGCAAATTGTAGCGACGGATGGAAAGAATTAAACGCCTTCAAAATGTCCACCAGCTCACTCTTTTTTATAATCAAAAACAAGTCATCAATATATTTCTTAAGAAATTTGATGTGAAATCCAAAATTAAGTCCAATCCAATCCAATCCAATAGCTCATTCATTACAAGGTCCGCAAGCTTTCACCGGTGAAAGAGTACCTCCCATGGCCACACCTTCTTTTTATGTATATATTTGATCTACATGCTTGAAGTATCCACTAAATGTAGTGATTTGTAAGACATCCAGTATAGTGTGAAAAGGGATGTTGGTAAGGGCATCTAACTCTTTTTGCCTCCTCATTAAGATCTAACTTATCATCCCTAGGGGTATACTTGTAAACAATGATTTCACATCTAGGGAAACAAGCAATTCTTCATCCTCTATGGTGAGGTCTTTTATCATCTCTCTAAACAAAAACGCATTGAGGATGTTATAATGTTTGTCTACATCCAGCTGGTTTAATATGTTACCAACATATTTAGACAATTCTGTTCCTGGGCTATTAATGGAGGACACTATGGGCCTAAGGGGTATGCCTGGTTTGTGTATATTTTGGAGGCCATATATGATATTTTATAACTATTTATATAATTTATAACTATCTAAATGATTATGTCCCTATGTCTCTGTAGATCCCCTGAAGAAGGCAATAAAACTTGTCGAAAGCTTGGGCGTTGATATAATAACATTGTATGATTGAAGACCACAACCCGAATCCCAATCAACATGGTATGAAGGCTGGTTGATCGCACTACAAGCATCATTCAATTAATTAAGGTTTTTAGTTGAGATAAAAGTCAGTGTCACGAGCGGAATTACTTAATTTTTACTTACCTTTGAAAATAGCAAGTAGTAGATGTTATATATTTTTCTCTAGTTTTACGTGCGGTCAATTAACATGAACCTGATTTTCGGAAGAGGTCAAAACAGAGAAAACTTCCTTACGGTTTTCGGCGAGCTTTCGACAGTTTTACAGTTTCACCACACGACACCTGATAGACCACATTGCAAAGTGATCCGATTGGTTCGTTTGTTTTCAGATTTGCATGTAATACATTTAGGTTGTTATTATATTTATAAGCAATACCTACATCACCAATCTTATGTCTGAAGAGTCTTTTTAATTTTTGAGACACTTCAGGTATGTATGTGATAGACTTGAAAAAAGTAGGTTTTGCCACCCCATTATTTACCATTTCGATTTGTTTTGTGATTTGATTTACCATTTGTGATTCGATCGCACTTTGGTTTGGAAAATCATTTTCAACATTTATAGAGTTTCGACATTGCCATTAATTACATTAATTTGGTTATGCCTGAATTCAGTAATTAGATCAATGCCACCGGGTAATGGTTATTTTTAAGTAAATTGTAAATTAGTTTTACATTCTCTTCAAAAAACTTTCTGTTATTTAGACCCAACACCCTACTGATTACGTTCTTGGCACAATTTATCTTTAGTGAAAAAGAAGTAGTGGAAAACGTACTGTGATCACTTGTACCTGAAAAACTAAAAAAGGTGGATTTTATTGGTTTTTAGACTTATATGAGGTAACTTTGCTCGACCACGTTTTTTTAAATTTTATTTGTACTGTAATTTTAGCTATAATTTTTAATTGTTAATGTATTCCATTTAAATCAATATTTAGATGCTGAGCCGGAAAAAACATAATGTATTTCTGTGCCCAAAACACCATGTTGTTTAATTTCCTATTAAGGTTTTAAAGTAAGATATCCAATTATTGTTGTAATTATTGTTTTTTCATGTTTTGATTGTTTGTTTATATGATAATAAAACAGGCGCTGAAGATGACAGTATAAAACTGTCGAAAGCTCGGCGAAAACCGTAAGGAAGTTTTCTCTGTTTTGACCTCTTTCTGAAAAGACTTCTTGTATCCAGCAGGTCGATAATCTAGTTCATCTTTACATGAACCTGATTGTTTTTTTTAATGATAATTAAACAAAAATCAAATGTTAACCTGCAATTTATGAAGCATGTGCTTGTAAGGTTGAAACTACCTGCCTTACAAACTGAGTAACATTAAAGGACAAGGTAGTTTAATAATTAATATTGTGTAGACTTTATAGGCCCTGGTCCTTGATAAAGGGGTTTGTATCACGATCTGCTTAAAACCCTAAATAGGTAACGGGGATTATCCCACTTAAAAGCTTCGGATCGACTTTGATCAAGATAAATCCTGACCTGATCGCCAGTCACTCCTTTTAATTATAAGTTCGGGCGTTCTACCAAATACTGCCTGAAACCTTATTAGAACAAGTTTGAAAAATAATTAAATATCAAAAACCCGATAGTTATTATTCATTATGATTAAAATTTTGGTCATCTTCTTCTCAAAGATTTAGGTTTTGTTCGAACCCTCTCGTTCCAACCACTATTTACTGTTTACATATTTCCATCATTAATATCCGTTTTCATAATAAATCACTCTCTTGAAATTTTTTGGAACTTACAAGCAATTTGCCATAGTAACAGTACATATACGTTCTTCCTAGCTAAAATTTTTATAAAAGTTTAGAGTATTTGTTTAGTATCTTGATAAATTTCTTTCTGTTTCAGATAACTGAATTGGACGTGAGATGGCCTGGAGCGCGTCTCTCTCTGGAGCCTCACGAGATCCAAACCTATTCTGAGGTTCCAGTAACAGCCAAGCTCAGCTTCCAGCAGACGAATTGCGAGCCTGCACTGGGCACAAGAGAACCAGAGACTTGGCTAGTCCTCCTGTACTGCGGACACTCTCCTCACGCCTGCACGTACCCCAATAACACACACAAACAGGTACTTTTTTCTATGAGCTTTTTGATATTCAGTAAATATAGTTTATAATCTTTAAGGTACTGGTAGGGCGGTATTAGTTCAAAACGTTAGCGTCACGAGCGGGATTCGAACCCACTACCTTTGGCTAAATTCGGCCGCTGCTATACCACTATAGTGACTTCGATCGGACACCAACTTCCCACCTCAACCCCACTTTTTGACTTTTCGCTCCTTTTTGCCAGTTTATAATGTTTCTTGTACGCTAGCACCTAAAACACTTTTATGATCTGTACTTAAAATAAAAATTACTATTCAAAAACCAGCGTGGATAATCAATAATATTTTTAATAAAAAAGTAGTATAGTTTATGTATATTACATCTGAATTAGAAATTATGGTAAGTATGTTGGTATAAGAGAACAAATCACATCCACACTATTCATATTAGGTAGGAGAACCGAATTAGTACATCCTCTGGCTTAATTGTGTCCAGCCTAGTTCCCTCGGGCAGCAGTCATCATGTCCGTTCGGGGCCGGACTCCCGGCAGGATTATGAAGACAAACGAGCCTGGCAGTATTTACAGAAACCGACGTAACAATGCATTTGTTCCGCGACGTCATCACAATGCTTCCCATCATCCCTTTAATGTCCTTTCGTTGCTATTGTAGTCAAAATTGCCCGTTATTGACCTGGCTTTTGGTGTCATTTCGACTGAAAATTCCGGATGACTTGTAACGTTAGAAAATTAATCAATAAAAAATAAACAAACAAATGACAAAAAAATTACTCAGAAAAATAGCTACTAAAAATTCTTGGTTCTGTTGTAAAGACATACCAATTATACCGCTGCTAATTGGTCTACCACTTGAGCTATCGAAACTTCGATCCGATCGAGGGCGTGGGTTCGAATCCTGCTCGTGGCACTAGCTTTTTCATTTCAACCAATACCTCCCATAAAGATTAATTAATTGAAAGTTGCTGTATGGTCAATCGGACAATAAAATCCAATGATTTAACAATTGAGTCGAACCTAGAAATTATCACGCAATTTATCATAAAAATTTTAATTCCGAACACAACCAATAAACTATACATGTATCAATAGTTAATTTAGGCTCAAGTTATATATGAAATTTATGATTATTCACTCACAATAATGTAAAAAATGCGCTGATACAAAATTAATCAAACGATGGCGATATGGGTTACGTACACATACCTGGATATGTGTACAACCTGAGATCATTAATTATTATTAACAAGTAAGAGTTATTTCAATAATGAAAAAGGGAGGCTCAACGTCCGATGTTGACGTATTGAAAAGAATAATGAAAATTCATGTATAGATTTACACATTTATATTTTAATATTATATTTTATAAACTTGGTTTATTAAATTAGTATAAGTTCAAATATGCAGATACACGTTCATATATACACATGGGTTTATGCAGAGTTGAGCTTATGCCTTTTCGCGGCTTGACACTTCGTCGTCTACATCGGTGTTTTGGTAGTCCTTGAGGACACTTAGGTCTTAGGCCGGGAACACACCCGATGCAACGCTATGCGACGCTACTCGATGCTACCCGACGCATTGCCACGGTTTGGTAGAGTGTGCACATCTATGCGACGTCAAGTGCACGCCATGTACAGTCAGTCACACATCGTGTATCACAAAATCAGTATCGCAATCGCGACGCCTCTTTTGTTCTTAATGCATTACTTTGAGCACATGGTTTTGGAATGGGAGGAATGGTCAAGAATGAGGTTTAGAAAAACACTTTTTTCAGTTTTTTGCCAACGTTTCGACCTTTAAGCCGGGAACACACCTACCCCAAGCAACGCCATGCGACGCTACCCGATGCTACCCGACCTTACCGCGTTGCACATCTATGCGACGCCAAGCGCACACCACTTACAGTCACCCAGCGTGTATCAGAAATCAGTATCACAATCGCAACGCCTCTTTTGTTCTTAATGCATTATTTTGAGCAAAACCATGTAATAAATTGTTAGTTAAATTTTATGAGCACAACCATGTAATAAATTTTATGTTAAACTTAATTGTTTTAAATAAAGTTATTCCGCTGTTTTGTTAAATTTTCTTCCTAACTATTACAATGACAAATTAAAGAAAGCAAAATTTTTTATAACAACTTATGTTTTTTTGATCTCGTTTAATTTCGTTTACATTAAAATAGGAATGTTGTAATTAATATAACGATAAAATTACATATATTTAGTTTTAAATAAACTTAAAAAAATATGATTGTCCTGTTCGGACGCTACTCGACGAATATGGTGTAATTTTATGAGCAAAACCTTGAAATAAATTGTTAATTAAATTTTATGAACACAACCATGTAATAAATTGTTTGTTAAACTTAATTGTTTTTAATAAAGTTATTCCTGTGTTTGGATCAATTTTCTTCCTTACCATCACGATTAAATAATTTTTATAAAAACATGAATTTTGGATTTCGTTTAATTTGGTTTTCATTAAAAGTAGAATATTGTAATTAATGTACGATAAAATTACATATACATAGTTTGAAATAAACTTTAAAAAAATATGATTGTCCTGTTCTGGCGCTACTCGACGAAAATGGTGTAATTTTGTGAGCAAAACTATGAAATAAATTGTTAGTTAAATTTCATGAGCCAAACCGTGTAATAAATTGTTAGTTAAATTCATTATATCAAAAAGCGGTAGAATAGGGTAGCGTTGCATAGCATCGGGCAGATGTGCACGGGGGTAATACAATCTTATGGAAAAATGGACTTTGGATTTGCGTCGGGTAGCGTCGCATAGCGTTGCATCGGGTAAGTGCGTTCTCGGCTTTATACGCTCCACCGCCTAAGTTACTCTCCAGGAGCTGTCACCAGCCAAGCCATTTCAAGGTTTTTAAATCTAACCATACTGACACTATCATTTTTTTTAAATATATTCTTTCCTATCAACATACCATTCAATCAAAAAGGGCGGTGGAGTACTCAATATTCCTTCATCACCCTCCACACAAGTTATATAACTACTCTAATTTAGCGTCGATAGGATTAACCCCACTCATAAGGTGGGATAGGGGATTAATATTCCGAGTACTACTGAATACTTTCAATTAATTAATCTTTTATGAAGGTTTTGGTTGAAATGAAAAAGCTAGTGCCACGAGCGGGATTCGAACCCACGACCTTCGGCTAAATACGCCGCTGTTCTACCATTTGAGCTGTTATGACTTCTATCCACTCGGACACCAACTCCCCATCACAACCTACAACCTTTCGAATTTCCCTTCTTTTTGCCATTAAAAAAAAAAAAAAAAAATGAAATATATCTAAATTCTAAAGTTTGAAGGTTGAGATGGGGAGTTGATGTCTGAGAGGATCGAAGTCACGTTAGGTCAAGTGGTAGAGCATCGGCGTATTTAGCCGAAGGTCGTGGGTTCGAATCCCGATCTTGACATCATTTCATTTCAACAAAACCTTACATAACAAGATTAATTAATTGAAAGAAATAATTTGGTGAATAGGCCACTAAATACAATTAAATTAATTAATAATTGAAAACGGCTCATGTCAATAGGGCGAAAACATTCTTTCAACAAAATAGAATTTTCTCAAAAATCGGGCTGTACACTCTTCAAGTACCACCAGTTTTAAATAATATAATTTAAAAAATAGTGACAAAATAATTAATAATAAAATTATATAAATCTATTTCCATTATTTAAGGTCGATTCAAGTAACCTGCCGTGATTTGTTCAACTACAGGATTATTATTATTATTAAGAAGTTAGAATCAGAAATGACTGAACATGGTTAGCAGTAATTATCTCAATTATTCGATGTCGAGGTTTTGCAAATTTGTCTTGATAGATTTAATTAAAGTTCTTCGAGAAATCCATGGTTTATGTAGGTTATTATCAATTATACCCCGTAGCTACGAGATAATAAATATGCTACTTGGTGAAGAACATTTCTGCAAGATGAGCAAATGGTATGCTTTAAAATGTCTTGAACTATCTGAAGTGTACTACTGCACATGAATAAAGCAATAAATGGTTTTCCTCATCGAGACTGTTGTTTATTACAGCAGTGTACAATTCTGTCGAATGTTTTAAAGGGTACCAAACAACTTTTGAATATCTAATTAAGAACAAATTAGAGTTTTTTCGTGAACTATAATTATATTATATGTCACTTAAAACATACCCATTTGATTGCGTAAATACAACCCGTTTTGTTTTACCCGATAAAGGCTGTACTAATTCTAAACTCTGTCCATAGAAAAGTGTCCAGCCTGAAATAAATGTGTGTTCTTTTAGTGACTGGTTGTTTAATAATTTGTGGGATTCGTGAGGAGTGGTAAAGAATGAGGTAGTTTAGAAAAACACTTTTTTTCAGTTTTTTTGCCAACGTTTCGACCTTCAAGCCGGGAACACACTTACCCCATGCAACGCCATGCGACGCTACCCAATGCTACCCGACGCCTTGCCACGTTTTGGTTAGGGCACATCTATCCGACGTCAAGCGCACGCACCGTCACACAGCGTGTATCAGAAATCAATATCACAATCGCAACGCCTCTTTTGTTCTTAATTCATTATTTTGACCAAAACCATTGTAATAAATTGTTAGTTAAATTTTATGAGCACAACCATGAAATAAATTGTTTGTTAAACTTAATTGTTTTAAATAAAGTTATTCCGGTGTTTTGATAAATTTTCTGCCGAACCATCATAAATAAATAATTTTTATAAAAACGCATGAATTTTTGATCTCTATTAATTTGCTTTATATTAAAATAGAAATGTTGTAATTGATATAACGACAAAATTACATATCTATAGTTTCAATTAAACTACAAAAAATATGAGTGTCCTATTCTGATGCTACTCGACGAAAATGGTGTACTTCTATGAGCAAAACCATGAAATAAATTTTTAGTTAAATTTTATGACCTAAATCGTGTAATAAATTGTTAGTTAAATTCATTATATCAAAAAATGATATTCCAGTGTTTTGATCAATTTTCTATCAAACCATTAAAATTAATTTTCATGTATATGTATAAAATGTATAAATATGTATAAAAAATCACTTACCTCAATCACGCATCCTCAATCTTAATTTACTCGAACGTAAATTTCTTTTATCTTTTCAGCTCGTCTATTCGGAGCAGATAAGAGGCTACCCCGAAAATCGGGAGATAACCCTGAAATGCGAACTGTTCGGAATGGCCGGGCATTACGCCTTAGCACTTCGGCCGAAGATCCAGGATACAGGGGAACCGATCGCTGCAACGCAGGCAAAAGACACTTTGAAGGTGAGTGATATTGCTTTTTTTTATCTTCAGACATATTAACATTTCCATAAATAATGGCAGAATTGTCCCAAAAAATCCTGACAATGTACAAATCACAACCTAAAGTCGTTTATGTGAAATCATCCCCATAAAAAATAAGTGTATTATTGCAAAAAAGGACATATTTTTATTCATAGTTTTTCAAAACCGTTCAAAAATTGTAGATGTTAAAAATGCGTTAGATTTACTCTCTTATCTTTGCCTTTGATACCGCAATTGGTTCCCGTGGTAAACGTCCCTTCGCAGCTACCTGTAATCTCCAAAATAAACTTCATTTTCTCAAAATTCTGGCAGAGGGAAAACAAAGTTAACGTGGAGGATACAATTTGAGTTATACTGGCGAAGGTGAAAAGGGTGGAGCGGAATTTATGTTATCTGGTTCTTGCCAAGCCATGGACGAATATTGATGGCGGTGCGGTTATGCGAAAGCATCTATGATTTTTCGTCGGATGTTGGATTATTGTGTTTGGATTCTACGGTTATTTGAGCGTTTAGTTGAACCCCAAAGTTCATAGTTCGGCTCTTGAACGGCCATCTCGTCTCACCCACCCTGGGAGTCTTGGCCCACTGTATGTGGAACTACGGCGACAACGGGCGGTATAGTGTGGTTTGGGTCTCGAGACCCCGAAACGGCTCACCTCGTGTTCTCATCCACGGCCCTTTTTTTCTCAATCCGAGTTCCTTCATTCTATCCTGGGGCCCCTCCTAACCCTTGGTTTCATAGGGGGGGGGGTATCCGAGCACAAAATAAAGGTGCAGCCCAGAGGGCGTGGCAACCTCTCTGAAGCACAAGCTGTACTCGGGTCGGCCAAGGGTTGGCGAGAGTCACACGAGGGCCAGTGCACAAGATCCTGTCTGTAAAGACGGGGGAGGGTGTATGGCCATCTGTACCACGGGGTAACTAAACCTTCCAAATTCAGCCCTAGTTACACTGGGAATGGATTCGTGGTGGTGCGTGGTGACGCCCCTGGCGGGAACTTACACAGAGGCTGTCTTCTATCTGTGACCTTCGTGAAGCTTGCGTATGGCCAACGTAAAACCCCCCGGCCTCACGCGAGACGTTGGGACGGCAGCGTGTAAGCGTTGAGGGCGCGATGATCACGCTATAGTCCCTCGAATGCGTGCTCTGACCCGAGTATGCTTTGCATTGTTGTGCGTATGACCGGCGTGGTACCCTTGGTGAAGCGAAGGATCGGACCACCTAGGCTGAGCCTATGGCGTCCCTCGAATGGGCCTGACAGGTGTAGCCTGAACTCGATAAGAGACTTTACCGTATGCGGTGCTCATCTAGAGTGTTGTTAGCAATTCCACTTAAAACTAAACCGCTGCCGGGGCGTTCCCGGAAGTTTCTGCGCTGGGGAAGCACTTTTCTCAGGGAGATAGGGTGTCCTTCTCTATCTAGGGAGTACGCGAGGGTGATGTATTTCGGCCTGTTAGCCCTTTGCGTGCGGCATACGACCCGATGCCCAATGCGGGCCCGACCATTCGGAGTGGACAAGCGGAGACCGAGGTTGTCTCGGCTCTTAGGGGCTGGGGCGCCTCTACACCAATGCTGCGGCTGTAACACCATTCGTATGCAGAGGTGCGTCAGCTCTCATCTTGAGAATCAAAACGTCCGATAAGGCCAAAAGGCAGGTTCGGAAACTAAAGATCCTCTTGTCTTGTTGACGATGAGTACTCGGGAACACAATGAACCCCAAAGTTCAAGAGTCCCTACGTCCATATTGGTTTAATCGCATATGAATTGTCTGACAGGAAATGACAGTTTAAACTGCCACTCAAGCAGTCTGGTGAGTAGCAAGTATCGTCGGTTTATGTGAAATCTGTTTATCTAATGTATGTTCTAGGGCTGTTCAGAAATCATCCAAGGTAACGTACAGAGATTCTCAATGGGAGAGGAAATAGTTTGATTTTCTAAATGTAAAGGTTATATATTTACTTACAGTCTTGTTGACCTTTATCTCCAACTTTTTATACCAGCAAGAAAATATGATTATGAACCTCTTTGTGGGAGATAAGAGGCAGATTGTAGAAAAGTAAAACTATCAAAAAAATGTGTGGCGATTTGTGACCGTTAATCGATAATTATTCAGAAATCGTAAGATGCGGTCTGGTGTGATGTAGATTTCAGAAAAAGATTCTCTTTATCGTGCCAACGTTTCGATCTTTATTGAGATCATCTTCAGGGCTCAAAGTGTTTGTCTTCTGTGGAATTGTGCCATTCTTGCATGTCGTGTTGAGAGTGCCTCAATAAAGATGATCTCAATAAAGATCGAAACGTTGGCACGATAAAGAAAATCTTTTTCTGAAACCTACATCACACCAGACAGCATCTCACGATTTCTGAATAATTATCAAAAAAATGTTAATTTATCTGTTGGAGTATATATGGTAAGGAAATCATACCTATACATTAATTAAAGGATTTGGGATACAGCGTTAACTGAAAAGATGACGGGGTTGGGGAGTTGAATGACTACCGTAAACTTGAAAATATCTGTAGAAATATAGAATTTTGATAAGATAGGTGTTAGCAGGGATGCTTTTATGATTAACGGAATATTCCAGCGCTCTTGACTCAGCAGAGGCGATGAGGTTTACGACAAGAAGGCACTGCTGGACAGTTGACTAAGTTGGAACTCAAATTGATGGTTCATGGACAAAGTTTTTAGAAAAGGATGTAAGTTTGTTTGGTTTAGAATATAGTGTTTTGACTGAGATTTTCCATAAACGACTTAAAAGTACAGACTGTAACATACTGTTCATAACCTAAGGTTTGTTTTGATGTGCCTCTTCACGGAAAACGATTTTCACATCAAAATATCCACATTTTTATTGTATATAGTGTTAAAGCTAATGCTTAATAGACTATCAATCTCATAATAACAAACAAAAAAATACTTTGTATTGTCCTGCTGAACCCTATTTGGATATGCGGACATAGCATACTTTTTTCTGTTTCCAAGCTATCCATACTGACTGTACCTCAATCCCCTTTCAAAAGGTTTAATTCTAAACTATCCACCCAAATCCCTTTGTCAAAAGCCTGTCATCCATTAATTTACCTGATAATCCTCACAGGAGACCTCCTAGCGTGGGTGACCCGGCGACAACCTCACCGATTGATTTTTAGGATGGTTGTTAATTTAAATACTATAATTTAAACGAACATTATCCGATTTACATGTGGTTTATTTTCAGTTTTACATTTATATCAAATGAATGTAGTGCAAAACATTAAAATCCATCTTTTATCAATATACGTCAATTTGTTATCTCAATTATCAATCGGTTTCGCATAATACAATTACAAGGCGATATTAAAAATATTGTAATTTATGCGTTTTATATAGGTTTACGAAATATCTGCCGTAATATTTTGGTATACCTGCCTCTTTGAAAATCCTGTTCTGGGAGAGGATTATCTCTTATATATCGGCTTTCACAAACGGATCGAGTTCACTTTGATTATTCGTTGATGACTCCTCTGGTTTCACGTTTTCCGATAGGTAAAAAAAAACTGACCCGATTCTGATTTCTCATGTTGCATCATTTTGCTAGAATATATAAATTGACTCTTTCACAGACGACGTGTGTACCACATCCATCAGATTTTCTGACTTTACCATTCGATCGATTATGATATAGATGTAACAGGCAATAAATAAGCTTGAACAGAATAAATTATTAATCTCATTAAACCAAATATGCTTGTCAAAAATTAGTACGTGTAAAGTGAGCAAGGGGACTCCACTTTTCGTTGGCAAAAGGCATCTTTAGCAAAAGTTTTTCTTCGATTGCTTTCAATTTATAGACGTCTAAGTTTTTCTCTGGTTTTAAGTCGCCTGCTTCATTGCATTTATGAATAATAACAATAATAATATTTGCATTTTATTGTCCAATGTTGGGATAAAAATGGCTCAAGGACTCCTCTCGACAAGACGAATATTCTCGTGCCATACAAAAAATTAAGTTTTGAGCATTTTTTCCGATTGTAAACTGTATATTGTAAAAGGTGTATTTTCTTTCGATTATAGAGATTATAGAAAGATGAAAAGAATATAGACTTACTTTTATTTTTGTTTCAATTAAATTCATTTTTTTAAAGTCAGTTAGTATTGTTTTGAATTTAAAATAGCCAATCTTTTTTTTCTTTTCTCATCTTCCAACACCTTTCCACTGAACCTGCCGTTTAAAATTAAATTTTGAAAAGTCTAAATTTATAGTTATTAGTAATACACCTATTACTAACGTAAAACTCAAGATAGATTATAGGGGTATTCACGATCTTTGTGTTAATCCTGTTAACTCTGTTAGGTCCTGTTAGATCGAGAAAAATGATGACGAAGACTTGTAAGAATCGGTTAGTTAACATTGCTCGATCTGACAGGCCAGGGCCAATGTTAGATGTTAGGTGGAAAATGTAGTCACATTGCTATCCGCTAGGGCGTAGGTGACCAACATGGCAGCCATGAACTAACCAGCTGTTTTTCGTTTACATGTATTTTTATTCTTTTTAGTGACTGGGAGTTTTGTGGCCCTGATAAGGGCCGGTGTCGTGTAGAGAAAGCGTGACCATGAATCGAGGCCGAGACCGTGTTCGTAGCGCCGTTGGTGGTAGTCTGTGACCATGAGTAAACCGTTGGCTTAGGTCCAGGGGCCGTGAGTCGGTTGACTCCACAGTGGCCAAAGGTATTGGAGTACAGCAATTAGCCGAGGGGCAGCAGTTGGCGTTTACGGCCAAGTCGGCTGTTTAGAAGGCGAGATCAGTCAGCTGCGAGTACTAGTGTAGTCGATTATTAGTGATGTACGAGACCTCGTCGGGCTGACGAGTCTGCTGTCCTTCTTGCCGATGTCGTTTACATTAGTAATTGGTGGGATCTCGTCGGGTTGACGAGTCTTCTTTTGCCTGTTAGTGATGGTTGAGATCTCGTCGGACTGACGAGTCTCCTTCCAGCGAGGCAGTGCCCCTGCTTATATAGGGAAGAGCTCTACTCTGATTGGCTGCAGAGTGGTGGGCGAGAACATTCCATAAGTCGTAGTGGCATATAGCGGTAACGTGTGGTAGCTACAAGTGGCCACTACGTTCTTAAATACGCATTGATTAAATCAGACCAATACGTTGCTTTTCTTAATTTCTGGCCTGTCCTTACAGTCTCATTCATAATGGACACATCCCATATCCTATAAAGTTGTAGGCCGTTAGACGTTAGGATAAAAGTTTGGTATGTCGGCACGAATTGAAACGTGGCATTTGCTACTACTTTTCGAGTGCATTGATAGCATTTTGAATGAAAGAGTTGTTTAATTTTCCTTTTTTATTAACTTCTGGAATTTTATATTTTAACACAAAACAATACACAAACAAACAACAACAATCCTTCTAGGACTTGTATAGCTTTATTTTTCTACCAATCGCCAAGCGCAGCAATTCGGAAAAATTAACGTTTAAATGTGTGGTGATTAGTGATTGTTAGACCATAATCATTCAGAAATCGTGAGATGCGGTCTAGTGTCTACGTCTTTTCAACAGTGCTGTATATTGTTGAATCTTTGATGTTAACAGAAGACTCTATGATAAAACCTGAGGCATTCTGGATGTGCATCTATATAAAGATACTAAAAATAAGCTGCACATAACACATCACTAACGTGGATGTGCTCAGAAACATAAACAACACAATTACCCCAACATTTATTTATTAACAAAAACATGGAAACTTCGATTTTTCAGCCATATTCTTCGTCACCCTGATGACCATAAGATTATTCTAGAAGGACAAATTTGGAGGTCCTGGTAGGAGAAGAATTTTCTACTGAAAAACCGTATAATCTATAGTGTTGCCTGAGAGCGCATTGCGATGATGAACAAGGTCCTACAACGCATAAGTTCCCCAAAGGAGAAAAATTATTATTGTTTTGTTTTGTCTTGGTCCAAAAGTGCTTCAGCAGGTCGTCTATCGATTTCCATTTGCCTTTTTTCTTTTCTCTGTTCCCATCATTGTACCCACCTGTTTTTTGTACATTGATTCTCCTTCATTCTCACCAAAAGCATGTATAAAAAGTGGTTTTAGGACATCTAAATTCCAGCACATTGTCTTTATGTTTTGATTTTCGGTCATTCTCTGATTCCCAGTATGCTCCTTTCGATGGTGTGAGGGATAGAGATTGGAAACCATTTTTTATGATTATTTGGAGATCGTGAGGTAGGGTCTGGTGTGACGTAGGTTTTAAAAAAAACATTTTCTTTGTCGTGCCAACGTTTCGATCTTTACTGAGATATTCTTCAGAGCCTGGGATAAACATTTTTTAAATTAAACAAATACATGTACGAAGTGAAAAAAGTTAATTTATACAATGCTCGAAATTTTAGTCTCAATGAAAGTATTTGTGTCAACATTGTGTGTCGTGTTGAGAGTGCCAGTGAAATTATTATGTTTATACACTTTGCATTTTGAAGGTGTTGGGAAGGAAGTATAGGAAGGTGGGGAAGGAAATAAAAATGATAGAAAACATTTTTATATGAGGTAGGTTTTATATTTTTATACAATATGAAAGAATGGGTAATGGTTCAAAATCCAAAATCCCTTCAAAATCCGATGTATATAAACATAAAACATCAAGATCTCACTGGCACTTCCAACACGACACTCAATAATGACACGTCTACACAGAAAACAAACGCTTTGAATGAGTACAAATAGTTTGATTGAGTCTAAAATTTCTAGCATTGTATAAATTCACTTTTTTCATATCCTACTTGTATTTGTATAATTTAAACAATGTTTATAAATCTCAGGCCCTGAAGATGATCTCAATAAAGATCGAAACGTTGGCACGATAAAGAAAAGGTTTTTCTAAAACCTACTTCACACCAAACCGCATCTCACGATTACCAAATAATAATTAACGCTCACCAAACACCACACAGATTTTTTTTATTTTTCCACGTTCGCGATTTGGTAATGAAGAATATTGGCATTTAATTCAATTAATTAATTCACTAATTTCGTGGTCCGCTTGACCAATTAATACATTACAATTAATTAAGTTTTTTAGTTGAGATAAAAAAATGGCAAATAGGAGGCAAAACTCAAAACATGGGGTTGAGATAGGAAGTTCACGATAGCTCAAGTGGTAGAGCAACGCCGTATCTAGCCGAAGATCGTGGGTTCGAATCCCGCTCGTGCCATTCACTTTTTTATCTCAACTAAAAACCTTAATTAATTGTAGTCAATTAATTAAGTTTTTTTAAAAACTATTCGATTTACTTTTGAACATGATCTTATGGTTCATATCTTTTCGGTGTTCCTTCTGTATTCAAAATTCCTTGATGCCGTTGCTTAGTTTTTTTAAATTGGGTTGGGGTTATTGGAGAGTATAACTTCATCAACTGTGTAGCGTAGGTTTGACAGATATGTGCCATTTATTTTATTTATTTTTTAGTCAAAATAAATCAAGTTGCCTAAATAATTTTATAATTGCACGATTAAAGAGCCCATTTTATACCTCTGTTTAAAAAATGGTCTGTGTCTCTTTGGTCTAAAATCACTTCAGCCTTATTAACATCGTACCTTCGGGGTTTGGATGGTGTCCTCAACGTGATAATTAGCATAAGTAAATAAAACATTAAAATTAAAGAACTGATATACCTGTGACATTACAACATCCATGTTTTATGGGGTGGTGAACCTGACGTTGGTAGTTACCGATCACTTTGGTCTACCTGCCTTCGCAGGGTTAGAATGTCAAACGCGTTTCGTCATTTCGCCATCCTCAGTGTATCACTAATTGTCTGATCATCAAAATTACTTTTATGTGTTATAAATTTCTAAAACCTTTCAGTTCTGAGATCTGTTAATACTAAGGAATTATAATTTACTATATTCCTGTACATTCCTCGATCCCCTTCGTAGACAAGTTGTCACCCACCATTTTTAACAACCAATAGCTCTAAGTAAAAGTGTCGGTTGTTAAAAAATAATTTAATTAATTATCACGTTTAGTTATAGATTGGCTATAACATTGTTGGTTTAATTTTTTTACGTTCTTTTTTAGGCAATATGGAGTGATCGGTTCGTTTTCAACGTTTATGCCCGTTCGATATTCCCGTGCGACGGGCAATCCGGGGTGCCAGTGTTGTTCCAGTACCCTTCCTGCATCCTCTCCCAGGGGGACCGGGTGAGGCTGTTCTCCAGAATGCGGGCGGACGTTTCCGCCCTGGTACCACCCTCGAGTCTACACTACGTCGCCGAACAGCGAGTCCTCAGGGGAAGACATTCATTGCGGTGAGAAGAAATTTCAACTTTTATCGTAATAAACAATAAATAACTTTTTTGTCTCCAACAGGTTTGACTGTTCGCTATTTTCCGAAAAGTTTTTCGAGTACTGTTTTGTCTACGTGAGTAAGAGCATCACGGGCGCGGTCTCAGACGTCAGGATGGACTGTGTACCCACTCTACCAGTTTTAGGTATGTTCAAGTCATAATAAATTCATCTCTTTTATCAATCCATACATAAAACCAATTTACAAAATTCTCATTACAAGGGATGATTAAACCGAACAAAACTCAAAAAACAGCATAATATTATTCACGTCTATCATCCTGTTCAATTGGAGAACAGTTACTCATCTTAATTGGTATAAACTGTCCCAGGGAAAATATTCATCCTTCGTTCTTGAGAAAAAAGATCATTTGACTAATCCCTCATATAATTACCGACAATAAAAGTATTCAGAACGCCTCTCAATTAAAAATGTGTCTGTGTGTCCAATAGCGAAATGCTCTCAGTTCTAATATACTTATTTTTTATGAAATACCAAACATTTTATAATTTTGTCGACTTTTTTTATTCTGGCGATAATTTAGCAACGTGTACAGAATTATATTGGCGTTCGAAGGTATTTTCATTAAAGAACAGTTCACAAGAATTTGCCGGCAAACTCTAAAGAAATTTTTTTTACAAATATTGATATTTATATATGAATATCCTAGGAGCTAATAAAGCTTGGTTATTTGCTTACAAAATAGAAAATATTCCAAGAATTTTACGATTTTTCCGGATTAAAAAAAACTTGCAATAAAAGTCTGGCATTAAAACAACAGATAATTTCTCGTTACTCTTTTTCCTACACTGAAAAAATGAACTGCGCTGCCTATAAAATAAGGAAAAACGGACTACCTGAACGACAAAATGGCCAAGTTTGATAACGCATATTTTCTCGGCCTTTGAGGCCCCATGGAATTTTTTCTCGACGTACGTTTATATATGTAGTTGTAAATGTTTCTGTGTGTGTGTGTGTGTGTGTGTGGATACTTCATTGCTGACAGTATTTTTAGTAGGGGCTGCAGTGGTAAAGAGTGAAAGAAGCCTGACGCTCCCAAAAGCCTAAATAAAAGGCATTCACGATCTTCGTTAACCCTGTTAACTCTGTTAGGTCGTGTTAGATCGAGAAAAACGATGACGTAGACTTGTAAGAATCGGCCAGTTAAAATTGCTCGATCTAACAGAGCTGGGCCAATGTTAAATGTCGAAAATGTAGTAACATTGCTATCCGTTAGGGCGTAGGTAACCAACATGGCAGCCATGAATTTAACAGTTTTTTGTTTACACGTATTTTTATTCTTAAATACGCATTAATTAAATCAGACCAATACATTAATTTTCCGTTTTTATTAACTTCGGGCATCTCACAATTTAACACAAAAGAAAATCCAAACAAACAACAACAAGCCTTCAAGGATTTTAATAGCTTTATTTTTGGTTCTACCAATCGCCACGCGCAGCATTGCGGAAAAATTAACGTTTAACATGCTAAGAAAAGAAGGGGTCGTTCACGGTCTTACTGGACAATTCTCTATTCGAGTTAACACGAGTTAACATCATCTTACAAACATCGTGAATACCCGTAAGATTTGAGAAGAGTGTTTCTTGAAAATTCATTTTGTTCAGTGTTTATTGTGGTTACCGAGAAAAGATTATAAAAACCGATTTTGTTTTACATGTATACATCTACAATTATGGTAAATTGTGTAAAATGTAATTTATTAATAAATATTGTTTCACAGAACTAAATCAGTACATAGTCTAACCCTGCATGTAAGATAATTACACACTGCCCATAAAAATTAAAAAAATCGACCGCCTGCTTTTTGCACGAAAAAATGATCAATTTCGGAAATGCATATTTGCTGAGCCTTCAAAGTCACAGACCTATGCTAAGTCTCACTTTTTAGAATGTTTTACGCTGAATAAGATGGCTTTTTGAAATATTTTCCTAGCTTCAGTAATTTATAATAAAATTCATCAATTGGGAACATGTTAATTTTTGCACTTTTTACGAAAACTTCAAATTGATATGAGGGGGCAGGAAATTCACCTTGCAGCGGCGTCCTATAGCAATCGATAAAACATTTAAATAAGCTTGCAATTACATTCCTTTCATTTTTCCGATTCTCAACAGTTTTCAAGTTATTCTCAATTTTTGGCAAAAAAAACTTGCTGATGGAAAAATTCGATCATTTTCTCTCCTGATTTTCAATAATGCATAAATTTTGTACCGTCATTTTTTAGGAAATTTTACGCTCTACAACATTTGTTCAGAGGACTTTTTCAAAAAAGGGAACACCGAAGCTACAATTTTTACCTTTTCTTATTCTGACCTGTTGGGATGCGTAATGCTTCTCCTGTCGATAACCATTTGTTTACCTCATCACGGAAATTCAACTTTTCCTTCCCGTTACGAAGATATTGTGGCAGTTTGGCTTCAAATAAAGTGTTAAAACAATATGGTAAAATCAGGAGAGAAAGAGAAAGAGTGAGTTGTTTTTTCCAAGAGCAATTGTTGAAATTACTGATGAAAAACCAGGAATGCCATCTTCTTCAGTGAAAATTTTTCTAAACAATGAGATGTAGCGCAGATCTGTGGCTTAGGAGGCTGAGAAAATATGGATTTCAAAAGTTTTTTTTTTAAATATTTTTTTATAATACAATATGTGTACTTCCTATTGTGAGATTATGTTTTCAATCAATTAATCTTTATATAAAGCATTCGCTGAGATGAAAAAGTCAGTGTCACGGGCGGGATTCGAACCCACGACCCTCGGCTAAATAGCCGATCCACTTGGACACAAACTTCCTATCTCAACCCCACCTTTCGAATTTTCCCCCCTTTTTGCCATTTTTCAATCTCAACCAATACCTTACATAAATATTAATTAACTCTAAAAAGTTAATTGGTCAATCGGACGACGAACTATAATGGGTTCTGTTAATATATTCGAGGAAGAAATTAGGAGCTTTTTGTCCAGTTGTGTGTATCATAATTTCTATAGTATGTAAATTATAAACTCCTTGTAAAATAATGTGTTTCAGTATTTAATGTTGGACATTTATGTAACATCAGACGGAACAAACGATTTCTGTTCAGTTTAAGTTACAATTTAACTTTTCCGCTTTTCAAGTATGAAATTCAAGTTGTTTCAGAATTTAAAATCGGGTAGGGTTTAAGTGTAACTCTCCTAAAATCTGGAATTACTCTTTCTAACCCTTAATCCATTTTAATTCCTAGCATCAATCCGAGATAAATGATACGTATTAATCCTCTCCTTCCGGGACGGCTTAATGTAGACGTGGACTGAGGATTGTCTCTTCGAACATCTCTTGTCACTTGCCGGAGGGATTGTAAGAGTAATGTTTAAAATTGGGCATCTCGAAATATAACTGCGCACTGATCAATGAACAGCATGCTTTGTCTTCGTTAAAGGCGACTTGTGTTTGAATAAAATCTGAAATATGACGACTACTTAAATGCGAAGAAATCTGTTTTTTTCCATTTGAAAAGTTGTTTATATTTGGATTTGACTGCGGTGATTTCAAATCTACCATCAGTCGACGCCCCTGAAGATCATCGGTACCAAGGGGGAAGAAGGATGGTCCCGTTTTACGCGATGAAGCGTAATGGGACGTTTTAAAGGAAAACGTTTATCTTCACTAGGGGAATGTTATATGCCCTTTTCATAAAATTGGACGAACCGTTTGAGAATCGAGGTGATGGATGCAAATTAATACCGGCTGTCCCATTGGCCGAGACGGCAAAAAAGGGCAATTGGGCGAATTCTTCAGCTTTCTTGATTAAACCTGCCAAGCGAAGCCATCCGTCCCCAGACTTTAATTACACACCCTTGGGTGATTCGGGCCCACCTTTTCTCTTACTCGGGATTTAATAATCGAAGTGTTATCGACGACTGCCGATTGCGAGGCACTTCAATTTGTGTTCATTTCCATCTTGCGCCCTCATTCTAATCGTTTGACAATGATTATTACTACTCATTTCTACTTAGATCAAAATTATAGAGTTAAATAAGCCTTAAGTTATGTTACTAAAATTATAGACTTAAACCAAATAATATTTTTTACTAACGAGAATTATTGCGGTTTCGTTTCAATTAGAGAAATGTATAACTAACAAAAATGTAACCATATTAAGTTCATTAAATGTAACTCAATTAAAAATTCTTTAGTCAAGTTTGAAATGTATGATAAATAATAGTAAAAGTTTTATTTAGATATGAAGATAATAATATAAATAATTTGTAACATTTTCACTTAAATTACACTACGAACTACATTAACTCCATAAAGCTCGTGTATCTTGATAGTAATAAAAATTTAAAAATTTCCTTCGCAATGCTAAATTCAAATCATTAAAGTTCGTGTCCTATTGACCGAATAACGTTTTTCAATTAATTAATCTTTATATAAGGCATTGGTTGAGATAAAAAGTCAGTGTCACGGGCGGGATTCGAACCCACGACCCTCGTCTAAATATGCCGCTGATCTACCACTTGAGTTATCGTGACTTCGATCCACTCGGACACTAACTTCCCATCTCAACCCCACTTTTGGAATTTTCTCTCAAGTACCTGCAGTGCCTCACAAAAGTAATCGAAAATCGCGCTTTTCTCTTTTTGCTCGTAATTCACTACTTTTTGTAGTCCGCTTGGCCAAATAATATCTTTCAATTAATTAATCTATAATTGGCTCATAATATCGCATTATGGGCAAAATTAAATAGGTAAACAAAATTCTTGCTAGATTAAGAATAGGTCATACGCGGTCGACACATGGTCACTTGCTGGTGGGCCAATCCCCCGCAGGTGTCCCCTATGCAGATAATTGTTGTTTCTCTTATATCTTGTTTTTATTTCTTTATTTTAAGATATTTTTAAAGAAAATTTTAAAATATAGCTAAATAAAAAAAATTTAACTGAGTTAAAATTTTTTTAGTATTTCCTCCTCTTATAATATATACTATATATATTTTATGTTACATATTATATATTATATATATTTAAACTAGGGTCGCTCCTCAGTGTAGTATAAAACAAATTAAAACTTGAAAAACAAAAAAACGTTCCAAAAAATATGTTTGAAAAGCAAACAAATTTGATTGGTTTTAACACCGTCC